TTCCATTTGCAACTCTAGACACAATCAGGGTCTGAGTCCAATTTAAATCATTTGATGATGGGAAATTATGTTTCTATTAAAATATTTAATATTATTCTGTACCTATTCAAAAAGTCAACGCAAATTTTAAAATTTCTGCAGATTAATAAAATCATAATAATCACTTTATTATTTTTTAGTTTATTGATAGGTATGGTTAAATGCCGCTAATTCCTGGGCAGTGACTTGGATCGTTTTCCACCATCTTCAGTTCTGCGGTTTTCACCAGAGTGGGCAGTTCGCAGTGATCGTCACACTCCTATCGCTTTTACTGAGAGCTCGCCTGCTGCAGTACGCAGTCCATGCAGGCTTTGGGGTTCCCTCTTCATGTCGAAGTTTTCATTACGAAAGCGCCTATATCAAACAGGCGCTGTGCGTTCATTAGCAGTCCTTTCCGAACTCAGCATTTATTACGAGGGCTTCTTTATTAAACTCGTATTTACTTTAATTTGTGAGATTTACATGAAAATATCATAAATTAAGTTTTTCCTGTGAATTTAAAGTATCCATTACTATAATGCAGCGATTGTTCTCGAAAGAAAGATGCTTGTATATGTCACTAATTATTTCCGCTATAATGTTGTTTATATTTCCTACAATTCGTAACGATATACTAATATATAAATTGTAGTTATAGAGTGATGTGATAATTTAATTAGACTGGATGAAAAGAACCGAGAAAAGCTTCATTTCCTAACATCTTAAAAAGCAATATTTCTACAATATGTCTGCGGCTGTAGGTGAACAATGATAAGGCACATAACAGTCTTCATACACAATTGTACGTATGAGAAAAATTTTTATACCGAAATAAGCTTTATTACACAGGCACAAATTTCATTTATGAATGTATAGGAGTACAAGTCTACTTGTGAATGATAAACGCCTGACACAGTTTTTGCTAACAATAACGTCGCTAGTCGTTTTGTAAGGATATTTTCTTGAACTTTCTTTAGATTTGAATAAGCTTTTGTGTAACATGTGTGTATGAAATAAAGGAGGTCCCTGTTCTTTTTACTATTTATTTGATACTAGCTGCTCTCGCGAACTTCGTTTCGCCCTGATTTTTTTACTTAGCCTTTTTTCCAATTTCCCACACCACTAAAACCTACCTCAGAGCTCAAGACACAAATTTAAAAAAATACATAAATTGGTCCAGCTGTCTTCGAGTTTTACCCTTCGCAACATATTTATTTATATAGATAACATATACACAACAATACCAATTTCCCGCAAGTAATTTTACTAGAGTAGAGTAGTAGAGTCGCGCAGATGTCATTTCAATTTTTTTCTTACTAAAACTATATACGCAAAAATATAGAAACTATACCATTGTTAAGATCTTTTTTAATACAGTTGCTCAAAAAGTGGCGTATTGCAGGGACCTATAGCGTTCGGGATGTGGGCTATTACACACTCGTGCTTTTTTTTTTACCTTTTCCGAACTAGTGCGTTTTCTTTCCCAACTGTCAAAATAATGTCTATTAAAAAGAAAAAACCAACCACGAAGTTTTTACTAAAAAAAAATCATTGAAAATTTTTATGATTCATGCAAATATTTCTAAAAAGAAGCTACTGCTTTGTTTCAATATCAGATTTAATGATTTGATTCAATGAGTTAGGTTAGATTTCATTTCATATCAAACAAAATTGTACTGAAGACTTGGCTGTATGGGCATAACTGTTCCCTTTGCCTACCAAGAATGGGTGAAGAAAAAAAAAAATCTGCTTATATTATTTTACGGTTGGCGCCATTTTCCATAAATGTTCTTTGCGCGTTTAGTTGTTTGTTATATTATATATTAAATATACATGAACAATCTTACGAAATTAATAATAGTTTGTCTCAAACAGTAAATAAATATGCAACCTAAAACTTCTCCAGTTCGTATAAAAAACTGTACCAATGTATATGTGAACAATAATTTGTATAAGAAATAAATGATTAGTTAGTTGAGTTTATTGTTTTTTTATTATTTTATTAAATTGCATAATTTTTTCGCAACTGTTTAAAAATAGTTGTTCAGTACACGTGCGGAACCGTCATTGCAACTTGTTCCGACTGTCAACCCTCACCTTCGGCTGCGCCTCGGCTCGGGTAGACATTTGTCGAAACTCTTTGCAATGACAGGCTTTCCGCACTTGTAATGAAATATACTATTTTATGCTCTAGTTAATTGAAGTTTAATAATGCTATGTGTTCTAACATCAAAACGTCCTAAACTTTATGATAAATTCACACAATATTTTAGTACCAACGTGAAAAAAATCCTAAATGATAACGCATAGTCGTTGCTAAGAGTGTTACAAACTTTCGAATTAGTATTAGGATTTACATTAAAAAAGGTAATGTATTCATTGAGTTGGTAAAAATTTACGCCACGTGCAAAAAGTCATTAAAACTTTTCAGTACTGCTACAGTGCTGTTTATGAATAAACTTTATATAAAGGTTTAACAAATCCGAAACTTATCGCATCGGAGAGCTGTAGGGACTCACTACATCCCTAGGAAATACAATATTCAATTTCTACATTTCACCACTGAGCATATATTTACGGATAAATTAAGTATTTTTTTTTTTTTGGATACTCGTATGTCAAATTGTAGAGTTTGATCTTTAATTAGTTACGAAGTAGCAAATAAGTTCTTATTAGCTTGAATTTAAATGTTGAAATAAAAAAATATTGCTTTTGGAATTTATAGATCAAGTGTTAGCTAATTTTATTTATTTATTAAGCCTTTATTGCTGACACCCAGTACAATATAATAACACTTATTAAGTTACATAAAAAGAACTTAATTCTAATACATAAATAAAACTTAATCTAATACGTCACTTGACCCGTTTTAGGTAGTCAGCGTGTCATAGGCCTCTTCCAGCTGCTTCCATTATTTTCTTATGTTAGCTGTTCTTGTCCAATATAATTATATATATATATATATATATATATATATATATATAATTATATATGGTAGCTAATATAACACAATATTAATAATAATAACTTATTTATTTCAGATTATATCCATATTGTATGTAGTTTCAGATACAGTTAGTAGCAATTTGATATGCGTGTTCTTATAAGATTTGTGCATGTGTGAATGCGTGCGTGATATTAATGGAAGGGCCTCCGAAATTAACACAGAGATTATTTTCTTTACAACCAGGAAGAAAGTCCCATTGCAATATCAATATTACTATAATTAAATTACACTGAATTGTAATTTTAATAAGAGGCGATATCAGAGATAATTTCTGGCGTTTGCCGTTAATTAATGTGACATGTTCTTAAACGGTATGGTTATATATATTATAGTATTAAATTCTGATGTATGCAGTCCCTCAAGCAGTAAAACAAAACAAACTTTCGATAAAAAGTCAAAGTTTTGCATCAGATTGTTTCCTTACTTTGAATATTTTTACAGAACTTCGACCATAGCAGTTAATTTATAATTTTTCGTGTGTCATTTTTATTAATCCTTCTGACATTTTACGCAAAGGGAACCACAACTCATTCTATAACCTTTGAAACACGTTTTAAACTAAGTTTCACTATGGGATTTGGTATTTTTATACTCAGTGTTTAAATATAAGATAATGAGAACAAGACATTATTTGTTTTTACAGTGTGTATTTCACTCAGGGTGTATTCGCCATGACGCTTTAACATCTTACACTTGTTTTTCACCTTTTACCTCTGTTTTTATCGTAACTATATCTAACAATACAACATCGTCGAGCGACGACGCGGAACTTTTTATTAGCAAACTACAAAAGACGTGGCATTTTGCGAACTCGAGCACGTTCAAATGTTGCTAAATTAAAACTTGTTTTATTAATGACATTAGGGAGATTGAGACCCACAATTGTTTTCAGAACAGATCAACGAGTAGGCGATCGACCTAGACTTCTGCTACCCCTCTCCCCTACCATTACTGTTAATTGACAGTTAGTAATGTAAATCTTTAGTTAATGGAGAAAGGACTTGTCGCTTCTTTTTGCAGTCTATAATATCCGCAACATTCCCCTTCAACATCATCGAATGCCTCATTATATTGGGTTATCTGCACGAATTAACCTGTTCCTTAATTGATAGTAAATGAATAAAACACTTATGAAATCTACGTTTATTCACTAAAATAACATTTGTACCCTGAAGTTTAAGAACTAATTAACTATTACTTTGTATCAAAATATTAATTACTTTTAAACAATCTCTTCGTCTGATATTGAATATGCGAATGATAAACCAAATTGCTTGTATTCAACTTTAATTAACTTGCTTAATAATAGTTATATGAAGCTTGCGTATTTTCCGCTATAATTTTTGTATGAAGACAACCTATACCAACCTTATAACAAGCTGAATACTTAAAGCACGGCTCGTTGTTCATGCAGTTCAATTAGTAATATCGAGATATTTTGATGAAATTTAATTATAAATGTTATAATTTGTAATTTATTTTTAAGAATATTTTAACAATATTCGTACCATGTATATAACATTTTAAAAAGAGACTATTATAAATAATTTTTATTTTGTATATAAATTATTTATCTCGCATGCTTCACACGTATTAAAACGTTTAAATATGCGATAATTACGTTTAAATCCCATTATACTGAAATCGATTTTAAATATAATACTTGCATAAATAGGGTAAATAAACACGAACAATATCATAAGAAATGTAGAATACAACTTAACTTATATTAAACACTTTCTTCAAAAAATAAATTACTCAAGTGCACTATTTTAACCCTTTCATCCTTGTCTGACAAATTGTGTTTACGCGGTTATAAAAAGAGACAGATTTTTTTATTTTTATGGCTAAATGGTAAGGGACTAAACTTTCCATTTCTATATGAAATTTAAAAACACGTACACAAAGCAAGTACACGCCAATCAGGAATGCATAGTTAATACACACAAAATATTAAATCCGTACAAATCTCAATCTATTCTTCTTCTTTGTAATCGCTGTTTAGCAATATAAGGCTCTCACTTGCTGTGGGCGTTTCCAAAAGGGGCAAGTTTTCCACTTCACCTGAAATATATTTCGAAAATAGAACAATTTAATATATATTAGTGGGTAGTTAGTAACTCGTGACATTCGATGACAAAATTTGTATTGCACGCCTCATTAGCGGAGCGGAGGCAGTGCTCTACTCCCGACATGTCAAAAACCCAGTCTTTCGAAACTTGAATGTCTTTTTTCTCACTAATATAACACATACAGGATAATATGAGTGCACTAAAATCGAGTTGAATAATCTATCAAGCACATATGGTATTTTTTATGAACAATTATTTTGTTTAACATAGTAAATAATAACATTAAAATCAATCATTCTTCGACGTCCGTCAGTCTGTGTTTATGGATCCATGTATGTGGCAGAGAAATTGGTCGAAAAATTTATCGTACCAGAATACTTTTTTCTTATTATATAAAGTTATACCCTGGGCTGATCCCTAGTTAATATTAGCGTTCTAAGTACTGTCGTTTAATTATAATTTGTAATAACTAAAATACGACTGTGTATTTGTATATCTATATATACATTTATTTTAGTATATTTTTTCCTCACCTTAGAGTTATGGCGCCACTATATATTTTTTTATTATATTAAGTAAGTAGTAAGAAATAAAAATAAAAAAATAAATAAATGTAAACGAATGATTTTTTTTTAAAATGTGAATGACCGCTATGAGGCGTGCACTTTTGGGTTTTCCAAACTTTTTCTATTTTATGTTTGCAAGAATTTTTTAAATGAAATTTTGAATTACTTAGGCAGATGACCTGTACCAAATACGCCTACAAACGCCTGTATTTGGTTGATGGTCTTGGATGCAGTAATAGCATACACTAAAGTGACATGTACTCGTATGTTTTTGATTAGAATAAACTTCTTTAAACCTATCTACAAATCACTTTTTTTATCAGCAACTGCAAACTTAATGGCGATTTATTTCTTTAAAAATATTTGTTAATAATACAGTAAACTTGCATAAAGGCTTATTCATTTAGTTTGTATGCTTCAGTGAATTATAAGTCTGAACAAACAGGACAAATAGGTTATAATTTGCATAAATATTTGCATTCAACTCACCAATTCGAACAGTGAAATTAATTGATTCACTTTCGTCCAGCATGGAAAATATATTTTCAATAGGAATGAAGACGTTTTGTGTATGCTCCAGAAAATCAGCATCCTTTTCGCATTTACAAGGACGTCTATAAAAAAAAATAATTATAAATATAGTTATACAATAAATAAATGATTGATGATTATCAAACAGGAAGAAATTCATTATTTAATGGCAATAAGAGTGGAGTGTAGTAAAGGCTCAAGAGATACCTTGTATACTAAGTGAAAGGTTTCTATATGAGAAATCTTTAATATCTGTTATTTAAAACAGTTAAATAATATGAAATTATGAGGAATATGACGACCTGATGTATTGGTATTGGTGACCGCATGTTGCAGTTGAGACCGACTGCTCTAGAGCGGTCGCGTTGAAGTCGTACACGACTGCAACACGACCGCATAAGGCAGTCGGCTACGACTGCTTGGAGCAGTTGTGTTCGACCGCAAAATAATACTGATGCGAGTTCATTTACAAGATGGAATTCGATGAAGAAACACTGCTACTACTATTACGCAAGCGTAGGCGTAGAAGACACCGTAGTATGTGGGTGCATCCAATACTACAATCAAGAGAACAGCATAGAATATTTCATACTTTGTATCCCCAGCTGAGAGAAGACACTAAAAAGTTTTTGTGAGCGTCAGAATGGCTGGTCACTAGTCGTGTAGAAGGTTAAAATGTCGTTTAAAAATTACTTCCCAATTGCTTCTATTTAATTCCTACTACAAGACAAATGCTTCCTTAGTATCTTGGGAGAAGCACAACAATTTTAGTGACCAGCCATTCTGACGTCCGATTTACTATTGATAATGAAATTGTAATTACAACAAACACTTGTGGACTGGACTCCGTATGCCAGCATTAGCTTTAGCATACGTCGATGGAAGTAGTAAAAGTCAATTAATACATGAAAGTGATCACATTATGTGCCAGCTCATCCGATCTATGTGTGAAAATAACAATAAAGAGGTTTATAAAATCAGATCATCCATTGCCAAAACTTATTTTAAAAAGGTTCAAAACGGAGATATGCTAGAAGTTGATTGTGAATGTTATGTGTTAAATATATTTGATGGAATTCTGCTTGAGTGTTCTCTTTACAGTGCAGATGAAAAAGCGTCGTGCACTAATTCAACCTGCCCTATAAATGAAGTAGTTAGAAAAGTGTCTGTTTTACGTTTACTTGATTCACTTGTAAACGATATTGAAGAAGCAGCGAATAGACAAATGCTCGATACACCCACCATTATACCATGCCGTCAAGCAACTTGCGATGGTATCAAATCATTTGAACTGATCTTACGCAACATAATAAGTTTTGAAATATCGGTTGAAACCGTTTCTGTTTATGAAGCACCAACAAACCTATTTTTACAGGGTAACGAATATGAATTGATTTCAATAATTGAATTTGTTCCGCCTGCTATTGGTACAATGGGCCACTATAAAGCACATTGTAGACGTGAAAATGTATGGCAATGCTACGATGATATTGATATTAGAATACAAGGTTAATAAGTTATAATAAAAAAATAATTCCACACTTTATTGTATACGTTAAAAAAAGGAATAAGATTAAATTAATTAAAAAGACTTAAGAAAAATTAATGAAATTGGTATAATACAAATAGGTATTATACCAATTCATTTTATGTTATTTTCTCTTGTATTCAATATAAAAAAAAAAAAGTTATTCCTTTACTTGGTGAAAGTTTTTACCGCTAAAGTACATATAGTGGGTTCTGTTACTACCTACCTATATTTATATAAATAAACCATAATTAAACTTAGTTTAACCAAATATTCTTTGCCTGTATATTTTTACCAGGCGCTGAACGGAATTGTAATAACATTGTTCGATATCTTAATTTCATGATAGGTACAGCATCGAGGATGGAAAACCTAGGAAGAAGCAAATAGGAAGCAAAACATTAACTATGAAAAAATCGATAATTCATTATAGTGAGTACAATAGGATAGGTGAACGTCAGAATGGCTGGTCACTAAAATTGTTGTGGTTCTCCCAAGATACTAAGGAAGCATTTGTCTTGTAGTAGGAATTAAATAGAAGCAATTGGGAAGTAATTTTTAAACGACATTTTAACCTTCTACACGACTAGTGACCAGCCATTCTGACGCTCACAAGTTTTTCAACTACTTTAGAATGTCCGTGGTTTCATTTGATGAATTCGTTAGTATTTTATTTTATTTGAGGGAGTGGCGCGCGGTCGGCAGGAACCGCTTGTAGCGGTCCGTGTATGGTGGGTCCGGCAGCTCTAAGCAGTCGACCGCACAGAAACTGGTCGTGCGGTCCGTGTATGGCGGATATGAATTTAGTATGGAAACTGCAGATCGCCGTGCGGCGACTGCTTAGAGCAGTCGGTGTCGAATGCAACATGCGGTCCGTCTATGGCCACACTTATACGGCTGGACCGATTTGAATGATTTTTTTTGTTTGCGTTTGTTTGGGTAACGCCCTGAATGGTTTAGATCCACAAATCAGCCGGGCACATGGTGCTGCAGTTGGTACTTTCATACTTTGTTCAATACCCTAATTGCTTGAAATATCATGGAGGACAATCTGTCGAGTCGGCTAGTTACAGTTACATATATTGTGTTCGGGAACCCGCCCATCAAACTACAAAATTCAAGTTCAGACCATCGTGTTATATAAAACTCAAGTAAGTGATAGGGACAGACATTCTCACAATTAGCGCCTTCTGTGCTTAAAATAATGTTTTCACGGAAATTGAAACTAGAACCACGTGGAGAAAGCTTTATATAGTTTATAAATAGATATTACTCGTTAATCGCTAAAAGAAATTTCAATTTACAAATTGTAACGAAATTGTATGATAATAGTTAAATAACCCTAAATAAAAGAGTAATTTTATTTGAAAATAAAAGAAGGAGGCAAACGGGCAGGAGGCTCACCTGATGTTAAGTGATACCGCCGCCCATGAACACTCACATTGCAAGAAGGCTTGCAAGTGCGTTGCCGGCCTTTTAAGAATTGGTACGCTCTTTTCTTGGAAATAGTTCTCTTAAGAAACGCTCAACGCTCTATATTACTAAATGTAATCCTTGTCGACTTATCGCGGTTAAGACGAAATAATTTGGCCTTTATCCAAATCCTTAGACGTCTCTAAGCAAAATATTCCGAATTTTAAGAAAGTTTGACACGATATCATTTACAAAAGGCGGTTAAACCATTTTGATTTCGACGAAAACCTTGTAAACTTTTAGTAATATGCTGCATTTTTGGGGTTTCCTTACCTATACACGATTCTCTTGCTTGGAACATTAGGCAGAAATATGTCGACCTCAAAATAGAATTTCTCTGCTTGATCGTCATTTACTAGAACTGTCCACATCATTCTTCCTGAAAAAAATGTTTCATACAGTTTATCCTGAATAGGGGAGGAAGGTGATACATTCATTTCTTTGTCCGACGGGTGACCCATGAGTAAAATTGCGCAGAGTAGCCAGTTGCCAGTTTATATATTATATCATTTAATTGTTATTAATTGTACCATTATAATAATAATTATCAATGGCGCTACAACCTTTTTAAGGCCTGGGTCTCAGATTGCTGTATCTGTTTCATGACCATTTGTTAATCTAATAGGCAAGTAGGTGATCAGCCTCCTGTGCCTTTTGGGTCTAAGGGAAGCCGGTTTCCTCACGAGTTACGACGTTTTCCTTCACGTCGAGCGAATGTTAAATGCGCACATAGAAAGAAAATCCATTGGTGCACAGCCGGGGATCGAACCTACGACGTCAGGGATGAGGGTCGCACGCTGAAGCCACGAACACTGCTCTTACCCATTATATTACGGCCTAAATGAAGGTTAAAATGTGTGTCGATATTAAAATAGGAATGGAGTTTTTTAACTAAAATAATATAAACACGACCAGTAAGGCAGTTCTCCGCCTGATCACGTGATACTCCGATTATGTCGCACACATGTAGGCTATTTAATTGATATAATAAAAAGTGCGGCTTTGTCTGCGCACACACTAGTAATCTCAATAGAGAATTTATAGTAACTAGCGTAACATGTAAATGCCTAAAAAGATTAAGTATATTCCTTATATAGTTTTTTAAACATATAATCGAATATTGACGATAGTTCAAATTACTTTGAAAGTATTTTAATTAAGAACCTTTAAACTCATAGTAACAGTTAGGGTACTCCTACAATGTTTGCTAATAGGATATTCAATTACGAAAAAGGTTATCTTTTATAAGCATTTTCACAAATTTTATTATAGATACGATAGAATAATACAATAATTCTTATATGGCACTAAAAGTGAAGTGTGTGTAACTGTATTCTAATTATCTACACCGATAATTTTACAATAAATAAAAATACAATTAATTAAAAAATATCTACATCTTATAAATAATGATTTATTATTGAAACACAAATTCGACTGGCCGTTTTTGAAACGTAAGTCTAAATCTAGTCCCAAGAGTTAATAGACATTTTAAGATAATTTTGATAATGAAAATAACATAGTACATATTACAAAACCAACATACAAACTGTAGAAAATATTAAATTTTTTACCTTCTATTCAGCCGTGAGAGCAAAATAAAATAAAAGTTCATGAATCAATTTCATATGTACTGGTGGATACACTCAAGTATTACTCGATTGAGAAAGATTTCCTATATTAATTAGTTTATTCACTTCACAATCTGACTGAGCTTTTTAGTTCATATTAATTATTTGAACTAGAATGTAATGATTACATAAATTATTTGTAAGCCTTTATTAAATTTAAATAAAAGAACTATCAGTGCTTAGTGCCACCACAAATTAATACATATAATATTTTATTATACATTTAAAAACTATTTGATATTAAGATCCCATTCATAAATCATTTTAAAAACTATTAAGAAAACATATGAATGTCTCTATAATAAGTTAAAACAAACCAGATCGAGTATGTTTGTAGTGAACAAAGCATCACGTGTTAATTTGTGTAAGAAGTTCATTATAATTACTTATAACACATACATACCGCCTTTTTTGTCATATATTTGATAAACATTAAAAATTCTCTCATAGCATTTAAGTAGGAAGTAGTTTAGGACTGGCTCCGTCCGTTTTCCATTCCACTTGTCGTTGACAGTGATGAAGGGTAGGTCAGTAACCTTCTCCTTATGTTCAGCAAAACAGTGGTCCATCCATTCTCCAGCTCTGCCTTCCCATATGCACTCACCTATATGACGAATAAAGAAAGTTTAAAAATTAAATCGGAACAAAAATATCTGTTGACAATCCGGTATAATAACTACGTATTAAGATACGTTTATTAAATTGCAATTATTTATTTCGTATTTCATTTTATTAAACTCTCCCGACGTTTGGTGTACTTCACAGAGGTTATGGTCACGTTTACTTCGTTCAAAAAATGTATTTTTAACATCTTCATTGATTTAGATAAAAAACATCACATAGATATATTAACACAGGTACACCAGGTCAGAACCAATTAAACTATAATTATCTTTTTATCCTCTTATTCATAAATACTAAATCTGTCTCGTACTCTTTCGTCGTTTTCTGTAAAATGACGTTTGCGCTGGGATGAAAAGAGACAGGAGTACATTAATCAGTACGGTGTAGGGTAACAGCATTTTTTAAACCCTTCAAATTTGACTAACGTTAAGATTAAGAGAGTCATTTTCCTGCGCCTGCATTTCCCAGATCATCCATTAATATTATTAGCTAAAATTTTACCACAGCGTAAGGTATTCAAGAGTTATACAGTATCTATAGTCGTCACTTACCATAAACTCTAGCCATAAAACATTTTATGATCCGATATTGACAATGTGCAATATGCTTCTCGAGTAACGCAAGATTTGCGTGCTTCGGACATCCCTCGTTGGTGCACGGGAACATCATTTTATTCGCTAATGACTCTAAAATCTGAGAACGGATCAGCGCGAACTCTTTCTAAAAGAAAAGGAACATTTAATATCATCATCTACTCTTATATGAAGAGGTAAGATTTAATTATTTGCATTGGCCCACATCCGACCGAATTTTTTTTTTCACGATTTTAATCCTACATTTTCCCTAATGAGTTTTACTATAAAATAAAATATAGACTATGTAGACAAGTTTGGACACCAGTTTGGAAGTAAAAAATACTGAAATACTTTACTAGATACTATTTTTTTAAATCGAATACCATTTATTTTTTTCTAAAAAGATTCTCGGTCTTTTCACAAAGTTTTGTCAAACTTGTTTAGTCGTTGAGAAAATGGAATTGACTCGAGAAAATTCAAGAGCGATGATTTATTATGACTCTCGTGGTTTATCACAAAAACAGTGTGTTGACCGGATGATTTCTGCATTTGGTGATGAAGCCCCATACAAAACCACAATTTATCGCTGGTTTGCTGAATTTCAACGTGGATGTGTCAAGCTCAGTGATGATCCCCGTCAAGGTCGTCCAAAAACTGCAGTCACCCAAGAAAACGTTGATGCTGTGCGTAAGCTGATTGAGGAAGATCGACATGTGACATACCACGAAATTCAGGCAACTTTAGACATTGGCATGAGTCAAATACAAATAATCTTGCATGAACAATTAGGTGTAAAAAAGTTGTTTTCCCGATGGATACCGCATTCGCTCTATGAAGAGCAAAAAGCGGGTCGCGTTACTTGGTGCGTCAGAACTCTCGAAAGATTCCACGCAGGATCCTCAAATGCTGTATACAACATCGTATCAGGTGACGAATCCTGGATATACGCGTACGAACCCGAAACAAAAACCAGTCACGAGTTTGGGTGTTCGAAAATGAGTTAAAGCCAACGAAAATTGTTCGTTCACGGAGTGTTGCAAAAAAATGGTGGCCACGTTTGTCTCCAAAACCGAGGGTTGAGGGACAAAGAACGGTTAATGCAGAATGGTATGCTAGCATTTGTTTGCCACAGGTCGTTTCTGAACTCCGTAAAGAGAACTGCAACCGCCGCATTATCCTCCATCACGACAATGCGAGTTCTCACACCGTGCACAAAACAAAAGAGTTTTTAGAGCAAGAAAACATAGAATTATTAGACCATCCGCCGTACAGCCCCGACCTAAGCCCTAATGATTTCTATACTTTCCCTAAAATAAATAATAGATTATTACCACCTGAAGAAGCTGTGGACGCCTACAAAACGGCCATTTTGGAGACCCCAACTTCCGAATGGAATGGTTGCTTCAATGATTGGTTCCATCGTATGAAAAATGTGTCAAATTTCGCGGAAAATACTTCGAAAAGCAATAAATACATTTTTAAATAGTAATGTTGTGTCACTTCCTTGATTCCCGAAATTTTCAGTGCCACCCTCGTATATTATATTCTCCAGTTTTTGAGGCACATGTTCATAAACCGTAAATATAACATTGTATTATTGCATACGAGATTTATACATACACTTAAAAAAAAAATTGGCGATAAGTGACACTAAAGAACTTTTCATGGCCCAGTACGACTCGCCTATATTTTCTAGTACTTATGGAGTTTATTTAAAGTTTAGTTACTCTAATTTAAATATTTATATGAGTGTATTAATACATGTTTGATGACAGTAACAATAAAGCAAATATTAGTGGGAAGGGAGTTTCGTACTCAAAGTAACAGAGAGATCCCGTACCAAGCCTAAACATTACTATAAGAAACAAAATATTTTTTGCTGGTGATTCGGATTCAATCTTATAAAAACAGCAAAGGGAAGTTCCCTCACATATGAAAATTCATGTCAAACGTCGCAGCGTTGCCACGGTGTAAAATATAAACACACAGTATCTTACATAAATAATAAAACGTTTTCATAAAACCAGTGGTGCTACAATCTCTGTATCTGTGCCGTGATTATATTATCTTAATGAGGAAGTAAGTGACCATATCGACGTAGGAAAGCACATTTGCTGTAAGTAGACATATTGCAATTGTTCACCAGAGCCAAAAAACTTTATTAATTTCGGAAAAAATTAATAGTGTCTGACCTATCCATGATATTGCTACCATTTTTGAAACATATATTTATTTAACTGCCAGTCACCATTTGCAATGTAAACTTTTTATCCAAAGTTACTATAAGTACGTGTTTGGCTAGTTACAGCAAACAGTTTTTTAAATCACAAACCTTTAAAACGCTGTAACTAAGGAAGAAAAATGTACGCGCGGAAATATTATCAATTTACAGGCGGTAAATATGCTGTATGCAGGAAATTTATGTATTTGGGTACTTTTAATTGCAATTCAAGATGTAAGATTAGTTTATAATTATGATTAGATCTAGAAATGCAGTGGGTCATTTGGTAATGTAATGTTTGGTTGAAATAAAATGTCGTAAATGGTAAAAAAAACCAAAACTGTAGGTTTCCTAAACTTGCTGTAAGTAAACGAATGTAAAAATCACACGCCGCTGAAATGCTGCGTTAAGTTTTTAAATGGGAAGAAGTAAGTATTTGTAAAGAAAAAAATGCTGATTTTCTTTTGCTGTAAGTGCAAAATGTCTGAAATGACTAGATTTTGGTCTACATACAGCATTTAATCTTGCTAAAAATAATATAAGTACGGGCGTTTTCAACGGCGTATGTAATTTTTTTTCATCGTAGAGACACAGGACCCAGGTCATTCGATGCGGCTTTTTTTCTGATTCTAATGGCAGGAAAAAGTCACTTTAGGTATTTTGTCTACTTACAGCAAATATGCTTTCCTACGTCGATATATTTTTAAGTCTAGTGTTAATTACGAACCATTCGTGCACAACGTGATTGTAAGTCGAGTCAAACTTGAGAACTACTAACTGTGAGGCTTTTTATAAAGTAAAGGAAAACATACTAACCTTGCAAACATGACATTGGTAGCTCTTCTCATAGCAGAGCCCACATATACTATGTCCATCCACACATAGATATATTGGAGGCTTCATATATTTGTTACATTTTGTACACGTTAGGTCCTTTATTAGGCTCTCGTAGTGATCTGTTTCTAGAAGCGTGCTTAGAACCACTGCAAAAAAAAAATTGTAGTTTTTATTTGTATACAGATATGCCTGGCTTAAAGAGAATATTTCTTTAAAACAATAGAGATCAAATTACAGTCTGGAGGCTTGCGGCAACCACGCACGCGCACCCGTTATAACCAAATCTAATATCAACAGCATCGGTCAGGTCTACCCGCGAAATGTCATAAAAGAGAAAATTTTAGACGAAGGTACTTTACTGCATTGTAGCGCAGTAATTAGAAATAAAAAAACGATTCTAATTTGTCAACACGTGTCTATATTTGTCTAAATGTAATAGATTATAGACTTTTACAATGTTTAATATTATAACGACCGTAATTAAACGTAATTCGATACAACAACACCATTTACAAAAAAGAATTGCTCTCGTGAAAATTTAAAAGCAAAACACACAATTTCTTTAACTTTATACTATAATGTACCTTAATAGAATGTAACAAAGTCGATATTGCGATATTTACTCGTAAAAATCAGTCCTTTGTTATGTTAATCCCCGTATAACATAAGAAACCTTACTGTAACCCTGGTAATAATGGTAACTCAAGATGGCAAAAATAAATTGTATGACCCATATTACATGTCATAATTATGAATGAAGCCTTCGACTTAATTCATAACTATTAATTAATTCATATGAAAAGTCTTATAGTTGTGTTAGGAGTCTTAATTGCGTAAATATATTTTTATTGGTGTATGCCGTGATTTCAAATCACGTTACACACGGTAATTGGACTTAATAACCGAAGGACACAGAGGTACACAATTTACATACTCTTTTTCAATTCTAACATAGCTCCTCCGTCCGTGGACCGTTTGAATGATTCAGGACTTAAATGTTTCGGATCTGCACTGTTAACGCTAAACGTGTATTGTGGGATATTAACTCATTAAATCCTTTAAGTGCATTGTATTGTACTTTTAAAAAAGGAATCAATAATTTCATTATGTGTTACGCAAGTGATTCATTCGTGATAATGAACATCACACCTCAGACTGGAGAGACTGGCTTCCAAAAACACAGGGAATCCTAATGAGGGGATCCTAGTGCACTATATTTTACCTAAATATCCTGTTATTGTGTATAATAAAGTTTTGTCTTTCAAATACAATTACAAATTCAACCAAAAATATATCAATTATCACACAATTAAAATTCCTTTTTTTATATTTTACAAAAACTTTTCTAACAGAAAACAAAGTTTGACGACGTTAGATATAAAGCAAATCTACTACTACGACTCGTAAATCGTAATAAATACCAGACGTATTCCGGAAATCTTTATAAGCCTTTAATTAACATTATAACTGTCTTAATTCTTTGCTTTAATATAAATTTAAACTTGCTTTAAACCAAGACTACTATCACTAATGTGTTTAAACTTAAATTGCTATAACTTATAATTTAAATAGCAATATTAAAATATCATATTACCTCACTACCCATATTTACGAGCGTTTAGTATTAAATTTCACAGTGTAAGCTCTGCGTGATAATAAATACGCTCACCTGTACTGTGTATATATTTTAAAGTACAGTATATATATGTTAAATAAAGTTCTTTTGAATTCAAAGAGATAATTAGTACATCATATCCGTATTCATAACCGTACTATTAGTGTAAAATGTTAATAATTTGTCACGATCATTTGTTAAGTGACTTGAAAGCGGAAAAAACATATACTAGCTGTTATGTGAAGCCTATAAGTACGGAATTAATAATAAGAATGAATACAGGTTAAAGTTATTAAGTATTTTAAGTCACGTGTTTATAATGAAAGTTGACTTCAATTAGTTATCCGATTCAGCTAACAATGAGAAGAATGTAGCGTGTGTGCTAAATACCAATTCACTGAAAGTAAAATCCCGTTTTGACTGGTTCGAAGGCGTTTTCACTCCATAAAGTTACTAAGTTAATAAAATCAGTTGATTAAAATATATCATATACTATATTTCCTTTTCATAAATATGTACTAATAATGAGCAATGCATTGCTTATTTTTTAGCCATCCATTTGACAATTATCCAAAGTATTTATATTTCAAGTAACATAAGTCAATTAGAAAAACACTATCACAAAAATGAACGTATTTCGACCCACTCTCGTAACTATGAGAGATATTAAAACGTATATTTTACGCGCATCGCCTAAAACCAATCATATTTAGTGCAGCAAAATCAGGGCAGGCGGACGATAACATACTCAAATATGATTTACTATTGCGACACACATGTTATTCTATGTTAATAATATTTCCTAGTCACTTAAACACAATATATTGTTCTCAACCCATCACTGATTACACAACACAAAATACTAACATTTTCTTCCGGATGCGGAAGATTCGGACATTTTAACACAACGTATCAATACCACATTAAGTATACACAATACCGTTCACTGTGTGATTAACTCCTAATCTATACATTTGTGATAACGTCTGATCGCGATTGTACTGTTTGTTGGCGACAGAATCGTCGGCAGTCTATATTTAATGCGGCAAGGTCGCGTACTAGCTTCGAGTGGACTGACCAACTGTGCCAGTTCGTTCAATCTTGTTTGTCTAGAACTATGCGCGACATGCCAGATCCATTTATATCATGTCTTTTAAAGGGAAAAATTATAATGCTTAGTTATTGACTGCTTTAGTTAACAACTCAGCGATTAGTCAAGTAGTCCTGTGGGCATTGGATCATGGGGTAGAATTGATTATTATTTTTAGGTTCAGTGACCCGGCCTTCTGTGTTTTAAATCCAAAGTAATTATTGAAACCCAGGAGCATTCCGATATTAATTTAGTAGATGTTCCCGCGTTTACATATATTTTATGATCAGTGCACATGGTTCATGACCATTGTTGCTCAATAAAAACAGCTTATTGAATTATTTTAGAACGAATCTTTTACGATGTTATGTTTATAGTGATAACAAAGACACAGTGGCCCTGAAGTTAAAAAAACTTACCTATTAACCTTAGCTTTTGGCTAATTTTGGCGTTTGAGTAGTTTTGTCTTAGTGGCTTCTTCATGTGATCCTCATCCCTGAAGTCAATCTTAACACGTAAGTCGGCTGTACACATACAGCTCGTATAGAGAAGATAACCTCGTGGGGAAACTGGCATTCAGACCCAAAAAGTTGACGACGTGTGTGCAATGAAGGCTGATCCCCTACTTGCCTATTAGAAAAAGCAAGTAACAAAGGAAGCAACGCATTCGCGAGCCCTATGGCATTGAGACAGTCCATGGGCGGCGGTATCACTTAACATCAGGTGAGCCTCCTGCCCATTTGCCCCCTGTTCTATTAAAAAAAATGATCACGAAACAGATACAGAACAGATACAAATCTAAAGCCCATACCTAAATATAGCGACATACTTTTTTAACTTCAACGGGTAGTAGACCTCTGCGCATGTTAAAACTGCTGTTAGCATACCTACACATCACTGGATGACCTCATCAAGACGTTATTGGGCATAATAATACTCCAATATTAAAATGAATTAAATTCCAAGCAGATATTAAGTGTTATCTTCAATAGGGGACATTTGTTTGGCTTAGGACTAAGAACTGTTTATTTATTTATTTATTTATTTGCTCAACGGTATTCCTACAGCTACTTATTCAACAATATTCAAACAATTACACTGTACACAAAGGCCAAAAACGAAATACACATTTAAACATACACAAAGTACAGTTTCACAAATACAAAAAATAGACAAAGAATATATGTATTTATAATAAATTCTAAGTTCTTAGATTCATTGTTCATTATAATATATATTTAATACAAAGGAAGTTTTTTTAAATTATTTTTAAACATTTTTTACTTACATTTAATATATCTATTTGCTGGTAATTTGAGTTATAATCTGAAATTATACGATACATAATTTCAGATTAGTTGTGACTGAGTTACGTAAATAGTTTGTATTACACCGAGGAATTTTAAATAGTTGGGTTTGCCTTGTATTGTAAGAAGAAGGGGTGGAAAATAGTAAAAGCGACAATAAGTCTGGACAATCAATTAAACCGTTGGTAAAAGAATATAAGCGGTTGTTATGTAATTTGACTAATTAACTGTACTAAATATGTGTTAATATCTGGTTTTGGCATATGTTATAGTAAATATTAGATTTTTAGCTGTTATACATTTCTATACGAACTTTGTCCATACGAATATATTTTGGGGTAATAAATCACGTTTGTTACGGCCCAATTTTCCACTGTAATCAGTAAAAAACACAATAGTACATTCTTGTTTCTGAAACATAGAGATTAAATAAGTAGAAATCAAATCGTAGATAAGACAGCCGCAGTGTATGTGCGTCAATAGATTATCGCTTATTGATAATGATGATAAATAATAATTGTCGCCTACATACTAAAATAACTATGACTGCTGAAACTAACTATGAACTTGAGTCAGTATGTACTGAAATTCATATAGGTTTGCGTGGTCATTGGTAGCACGAATTTGATTACCTCCTTCAGTTTTTTTGATGTTTGTTAGTAACAAGATCCTTGGAAATGTGTTATACTGAGTAGGTATTTGTTGAAAGCTAAAGAGACTGCGCGTCGGTACATTTTATCCAGAACTAGTGTTGACAGTTAAAAAATATATTTTTTTAAATCCAATAAACGGAAGGAAATCATCAATTCGACGTGTAATCTTTTGTAACAAAACAAATAAAATAAATTTATTTTGTGTCCATATGTATTTACTATAATCAAGTAACTAGTGACTTTAATAAACGGTTGAACAATGACAAATTTAATGCCCCGTCGTCTTTTGTTTCTCAAAACCAAGGGAAACCGTAAAATTAATTGCTATTTCAATAATTAAACATATTTATTTCGCTAAATTTGACATAATAATAATAATAAATATAATCTGTATACAACAATTTTCTCGAAGATTTTCCAGTTTTTCCGCTTCACATCGCGCTGAGGAATAAATGAGCTGAACATTTAACGTTCATAATAAAAATATATTCTCATATCGATCTCGGCACAAGCCATTAACTTTAAACGAACCATACAAAATATTACCGGAAATACAAAGCAAATAAGTTCGTACCGAAAGTGTAGTATATAAAAATTTATTTTTATTTAAAAATTAATGAGATTTTTACATTGAATACTGGAAAACATTAAATGTTAATGTAACCTCAAATTTAGGTAAGTCTACATTAAAATTGGAATTCTTTTTCTTTGTTTGCGTCTGAAGCGCAAACTAACTGTTGTGGTCTCAGGTGGAATGACCAGCGCTGTGGAACACGTCTGCTCCAAAACATGATGCTGCGCCAGGGCCAGTTACAACCGCAACACACACATTACACCTTAAAATGTACTTTGTTCCTTAAAAAATATTTTTTTTGTTATTTATCTTTCTTTTTTTGATTATTATTATTTTGTGTGTTCCTGTGTGTGGCTTTCTTTTGTAATAAATGTTTTGTCTATGTATATGAATTAACTACTATTAAGTTTCCGTTCACTCTTTAGCTCTATTTACATGAAGTCTTGTAAAAAATGGGTCTTGTAAAAAGACAACAAGAAAACAGAATCAGACATTTCACTAATAATATTTTCTTAAAAGTAAGAGGGTCTTTACTCACCAATGCCAGTTATTGCCAGCTTCAAACCCAGTACCTCCAGATCATATTTCAGTGTTACTTATTCAGAAACAAGAGTCTCTTACATAAAAAACGTATCAGACATACAGATATAAGTCACGTATTCGTAAAATTATTGTAGAACATGATCGATAAATTATTATCAAATACAATTACGAGATAAAATGCACAAGACAGCTCCAGTTATTCTCTAACCCATTCATGGTAATTTAAGCAAAATTAATGAACATTTAAAACCGCAAAAACCGGTTTCATAAAATCGAGTAATAAATCAGACCGCCGAATAACGAGAGCTCAAATTTATTACATTAGCCTCCAGTTGCATTTTCAACACGAAATTATAATCGGGCCAAAACAAATTTATAGGATTGCTATCTTCCGCTTAATAAATTCTACTTAATTTACCTAAATACGACGCTTATTTAGATATGTAATTGGTGTCTCTGTTTAAAATGTATAAACAGGACAAAAGCAATCTTTATCCAATTTTTTTAATAATTCAGAGTTGTGTGTTTTAATAATTCAATGTTTATTCATTGACGTAAGATTTCTAAAACGGAAAAAATCTGTGCCTAACCTTAGTCATTGGTTTTTGGCTAAAGAACATTTTCTCACGATGTTTTCATTTTACGAGCCACTGCTAACAAGTTAAGTTAAGCCATTGCTGTCAACATTCGAAGACACGGCCTCAGAGTTTTTTTTGCGTTTTTTACAAAGTTTATTACGGAGAGTGTTCGGAAGAACTGTTAGTAGTATGGATTCCCGGGCACTGCCTCACCCACTGCTTCGGTAAAAAAAGCTGTTTCGGAGGCAGCGCCCGCCTAAAAAAAAAAAAAAAAAAAAGTTTGTACTCTAACCCCACTAAACAGGACGTGTGGAGTCGAATGCACTCACTCCTGAAGTGATAGCTCTAACCGTTCCAGAGATAGCTTTCCCAAAACCCTTGCTAATTACTTACTAATCACCACCTTATCAGCTACTATTTCCTGCACGAAATTCCCACTCATTATCTAATTACTTAATGACTCAGTACGAATGCATCGTTATCTACTTTCCTACATTCACTAACCCGATCTATGGCTCTAAAAGAAAAATAGAATAAACTATATCTAACCTAACCTACGGGTCTAAGCAAACAACAATAAATATACCTACATTAACACCATTATCTATAATAAAATTAGATGTAAGGGTTACATATTTAAATAAAACATTTTTATTCCAGGTATTATTCTTTTATTTATATGTCCATTATATTTCTATACAAATTTACTAGCACCGTATCATTGTTCTCTGAATCACACGTAAAATTTCTAAGGAAGTCTTCTAATCTCATCCCCTGAACTTGTAATATATGTATACCAAACAGTACTCTCCGCACACCGCCGATAGGTAATCCTGAACCGTAAGGCTATTGTATCTCCACATGCAACAATTCCTCCTTAAAAATCCTTCTATTGCTTCAATAGGTTTACGTCCAAACGAATCAAAGTATTCCCCAACTCTTTCGACGTTTATATGAATAGCCACCCAATGAGACCCCGGCTGTGAATCAGGGTCAAGATTGCATATGATAAGTGCTGGCACCTGAGCATACATCGGCAATCGATTTGAAGGATATACGTTGCTCTGGAGGCTGGGATGTATTCTACGAAGACTCATTTGCACTTCTAGTGTGTTCATACTTTAATACGCGTTTACTCCCCTACTCTTTCACT